CTGCGATAGATGAGATGAGTGTCGTACTCCTGGATTTGCAGTGCCCTCCGAGCTAGGCGGCCAGAAGGATCTTTCAATGTGGCAATCCAACAAAGTGCATGGTGGTCCATTACCAGGTCGAATGGGTGACTGTACAAATAAGGGCGGAATTCACAAAACACCCACACTAGCGCTAAGCACTTTTTTTCAGTGACGCTGTAATTGGCCTCAGCTTTATCGAGCGTGCGACTAGCATAAGCGACGACGTATTCGAAGTAGCCCGGCTTGCGTTGGGCGAGGACAGCGCCAAGACCAACACCGCTAGCGTCTGTGTGAACTTCCATTGCAGCTGTTGGGTCGAAATGCCGAATAATGGGAGGAGAGGTTAGCAGACTACGGAGTGTGGCAAATACGACGTCGCAGTCACGAGATCAGGATAAAAGGTCTGAGTCACCACGAAGGAGGTTGGTCAGTGGTGACATGATCGACACGAAATTTCTAACGAAGCGCCGGAAGTACGAGCATAGTCCGACGAAACTGCGTAATTCTTTCAGGGTAGTAGGTTTCGGGAACTCAGCGACTGCACAAAGTTTCACAGGGTCGGGTAGAACACCATGCTTGGACACCATGTGCCCCAAGATGGACAGCTCTCGCGCGGTGAACCGGCACTTTTTAAGGTTCAGTTGGAGCACAGTGTTGGTTAAACATGTCAGAACCAGTTGGAGCAGAAGCAGATCTGTAGGAAAATCAAGAGAGAAAATGTCGTTGAGGTAGCATAGACACACAGACCACTTCAGTCCTGCAGTGTGTTGTCCATCGTTAAAACGTGGCAGGAGCACTGCAGAGCCCAAAAGGCATTACGTTAAATTCGTACAGGCCATTTGGTGTAATGAACGCAGTTTTTTGGCGATCAGCTTCTGCCAGTATCCTGACCGTAAGTCTAAGGAGGAGAAGAATTCGGCTCCTTGGAGGCTGTCAAGGGTGTCGTCGACGCGTGGTAATGGATAGACGTCTTTTTGCGTCACCTTGTTTAATCGCCGGTAGTCGACACAAAATGGAATCGATTCATTCTTCTTTCAAACTAGAACGACAGGAGATGCCCAAGGACTGTGCAATGGCTGGATAACGTGACGGCACATCAACTCTTCGACCTGGTCGTTGATGACGTGACGTTCTGCAGCAGAGACACGGTATGGTCTTTGACGCAATTGCTGGTGCGAACCGATGTCAATGTAGTGGTGCACTGCGGAAGTGTGACCCAATTGCGGCTGAGAAGCGTCGAATGAATTCGCGAAGTGCTGGTGGAGATTAAGAAGCTTGGCGCGTTCTTGAGCACTTAAGGTGTTGGCGATAGAACTCGACAAGATGTCACTCGAAGACAATTCCTGTGGGGAAAGGGCAAGAAGTTCGGTCGAGGCACTACTGCACCATTCGCCTGGCAAGGAAGAAAGAAGAATCAAGGTACTCCACTTGAATGAGACATTCGCTGGCAAGTAGCGTAAGCGGTGCAGAAAGGTGGTTGTGGACGAAAATATTGCTTTAGCCAGCAGTGACGTGAAGTGTAGCGAAAGGGGAGCGGGGAGAGTGAGTCTGAGATGGAGGCTGGGGTGACTGAGACTCGGGAAGGTTAGTGTAGCCATACTGCGGTGAGGGATAGGGAGCAGGTAGGTGCATGGGCTGTGGGTCACACGGGAATGGCCGAGTAGCGTCGTGGAGTGGCTGGAAGCGACGGCGACAATATCGTGCCACGTGTCTTGAAGTACCACAAGTGTAGCATATCGGTCGATTGCCAGGAGTGCGCCAGGAATTGCTGATTCGTGGTGCGGCCCAAGGTGTCGAAAGAGGGGTGGAGTGGGGAGCAAGTGATGACATGGGTGGCAAATGCTGCTGGGAAGATCTGCTGCGTACCACCTGGGCATACGTAAGAGGCGCGGCTACGGCCTGCATAGCCGGCGCATGGGGAACAGGAGTGGCCACAGGCTGCTGGTGGGCAGCGATGGGAACAGCTTGAGCTACCTCTTCGGCAATAACGTCGTGGAGCGGTGAGGGCAGACGAGAGGACGGCGACTACTGCGTGAAGGGAACCAACGACAGTTGCCGAGCTACTTCTTCACGCACAGTCTTTAATCTATAGCAGGGTCGGTTAATGATCGGGAACAGAAATAAGACTTGAGAGCGAGCCGGCGTGTGAAGAATATGGCCAAGTCAGGGCGCGCTGCTTCCTCAACTCGTCGAAACTTTGACAATAAAGTGACAAGTTCCGCAATGGTGGCAGGGTTACGGGCCAGAAACATCTGAAATGCGCCATCATTTATCCCTTTGAGGATGTGCTGAATCTTCTCAGACTCAGGCATGGCGATGTTCACACGGTTGCAAAGATCAACAATGTTTTTGACGTAACCGGTGAACGATTCCGATGGCTTCTGTGCACGAGTTCGCAAGCGTTGTTCGGCCCTGGACTTGCGGACAGCGGGTCGGTTGAAAACGTCAGCAAACGGCGTATTGAAGATGGACCACGTCAGAATGTCATTTTTGTGGTTGTTATACCACATTTCGGCCACGTCAGTGAGGTAAAAGATGACGTTAGTCAATTTGTCCGCGTCATCCCACTTGTTGTTTGCGCTCACCAGTTCGTAGTGGGTGAACCAGTCTTCCACGCCGGTCTCATCAGTTCCACTAAAGACCTTGGGCTCTCGCAAGCGAAGAACGCCGGGGTTGCTGGAGGATGAAGTGGAAGACCCAGGTTGCGCGTTGTTGGTGGCCATGATGGGAGATAGCACCCGGTTGCGCAGCTCCAGGTTTAGGCGACGGCGAATGGCAGCACCCAGGTTCAGGCGACGGGAATGTCAGCACTCTCCCCCAATTTAAAAGGGGTTTATTGGCGTGTGTTGTGACGGTGGCTCTACGATGAAAACACGATCGGGACAGAGCTACGTTCAGGCAGATGCCGGCGACGATCAGCACGAGGCGAGCGAGACCAGACCAGAACCCAGTACCCAAGTGATGCCGATGCTGCTGGCCAATGATGCGTTTTCTTCCTCACAATGTTTTTAATGACGATCAAAAGATTGACATGCTGCTGAAAAAAGATGAAAGAATTAAAAAATCGAATAACTAAAAAAATTGGTGCCAGCTTGTGAATACAAAGACTGTTGTAAACGTATATGAACATGACAACAAATGCACTTTTACTGATGAAGCATTTCAAGAAAAAAGACTCAACAGAAGCACATGACTGCACCTGTAACTGAAACACCAGAGAGGCAGTACAAATTCCTCATAAAAACAGCTTTTTCGCGCGCAGATAACTTGTAACTACTCTTTCACAAGCATTCTTGAGAACCATTTTTTGAACGTTAATGTTGTTACAAATCCAAGGCATGTAGTATACTTAATGTAATGATGTAAGCACATCAGAGTGAGAGTAAATGAAAAAAGACATCGGGAATGAGACCTTGTGTTTACAAGCCTTGGTCTACATGTCTCTAAACTTTGGCCGAAGGTCACAACATAACAATGCTAATACAATGCTTCATAAAGATGCCACTTTAGTTGGAGGTTAGGATGGATAGAATACAAAATAAAAAAGGCAGGGCAGTTAACCAGTTGGCTACCCTACACTGGGGGAAAACAGAGTGGAATGTGAAAGACAGAGAGAGGGGAGTGCAAAAAAAAAAATAAAAAGGAAGGAAAGGATGAATAAATGCGCTGACCAATGGAGTGTGGAGGCTAGGGCTGTGAAGTAAGCTCTCAAGGCCATCTTATAGCTTGGACGAGGTAAAAGTAAATTTGGGCTCATCCTGAAAAATGTCACAATTTGCATGATTGCACACCCCCGAAGTCTTTAGTTTTGCAGAGGCAGACACGTGTATCAGTGGCTCCACACATTATGACTACAGAATTCAGCTGAACGAAAAATTCCATCGCAAGAAGCCTCAGCTAAAAGGCCAAACAGACACTCTGATCAGGCTAATTGATAATGATTCATGGTTGTAAGTAGATCAATTAAAAAAACGAATATAAAAAGGACAAACTACGAGCGCTAGGTATGCGCATCTAGCAATTCATGTTCAATTGCAGTAAATGCTTGCTCATGGTTAGTGCACGTTGTATCTGTCCGTCGTAGCATATTGTGCTACCTACACTGACACAGGCTCAAGCTCGAGTTTGATACTGCTGATCCCACACGCAGAATTCTGGGACATTTCTAGCCTCAGCTCGCTTTGCGGTAAGCCTCAGCTTGCTGCTGAAGTAAGGCATTTGAAACCAACTTTCTTGTAGTCCACATGCAATGTGCTGATCATAACACAGCAAGAAACTTGCCAGACTATGCCTATCGCACACCTTACATCCATGTAATACACAGACTTCTGTTCATCAACATATAGCTTAGTCTTTCCTTGAAATCCCAGTGAGAATTATTCACCATAAACGGCTACTCCCCTAGAAGGGCCCGCATCACAGCTGCAGGGGTGGCACTAAAAATTTTTCACCTGATGGGAAGCGGAGGCACCCACGACAAGAAAGTTTCCCAGGGGGGTAGGAAAACTAGTAACTTATACTTATGCATTCTTTTTAAACTATGCTCACTCTTGGAGGGGTGGAGGGCAGGTGAACATTCTGGAGGGAATCCACCCCCACCCCCCTTGTACCCCCTGCACAACTGCATGTGTTTAGACCATAGTTTTGTATATCCTGCCTCGTGTATGAAAAAGAGACTGTGAAAAAGCCTTGCGTGGCGACTGCTGCTGTAGAAATGGCATTTTTTCACGTGTGTGTGCAACAACACTCGACACTTTTGGTATACAGTTTCAAGTAGATCCCCACATGATGATAGAGTGCTTTCTCTCACCACAACCTTTTTCTCGCACTGCGAAACACCATCTACTTAGGTCTGCATGCGTGCTGATGCAGCTCAGTCTGTGTTTTAAATACGCAGCTGCAAGTGAGGCAACTGAACACCTCTTTGTGCAAGTGAGTATAAAGGTGGGTGCGAAGGTTGCTTGGGTGAGCAAAGGCACGTTGACAGTGCGGACACTGGTGCGGCTTCTCGCCCGTGTGAGTCCGCAAGTGTACAGCCATGTTGTAGGAGCTCTTGGTTGCGTAGCTACACAGGCTGCACAGGCGCACCTTGTCCACAACAGTGAACATTGATGGGGCAGTGGCTTCCCTCATCCCTGGAAAAATTGGTACACAGGGTGTAAGCAGAACGGCCGCAGAGTGGTGCACCGTCACAAGTGAAACTATATACTTGTGACGCGCAGTGTCCACACATTCGGATGCAATCCTTTTTTCATTTGCTAGTTTCCTTGAATTGTGCCAAGAAAGAGTTAGATACATTACGCATAGAATAAATCAACAATAGAGATTATTGTGGTTCTACACCCCAAAATCACCATATGATTGATGGATGCTGCAGTAGAGGCCTCCACAAATTTTGACTATCTGGTAATCATTAAGTTGTACCTAGATGTAGGTATATGAGCTTCGAGCACTTCACTTTTATCGAATGAAACCACTGTGACAGGCATTCAAACCAGTGAACTTGCGGGTGCCTGAGATAAATTGAAGCTGACAAATACTCAATGTGTCTTGACTTGACCTATATGCGCTGCCTGTGACTGCAGCCAATCACTCTGGTGAAAGTACCACAATGTCTGATGGGCTGTGCAGCACGTTGTGTTCCAGGTCCCGTGTCAAAAGTATCATTTTTGTTGGTTCAATATAACACAATGACAAGAAATCGAAGTCTAGGATTTGGTTTGTTTTTATAAACAAGTGTAATATAACTGACTACAGATTAATTTCACATTTGATTATTGCTAATTAATATTAATTACTAAGACCCACAAAAAATATATGCAATTGAAGGGGATGCACAGAGTTGCAAAACGAACTCGTGCATCTAGTGTTGCTGTCATCTCCAAGTGGAGTGCACACCTCATGAAGTACAAAATGCAATACTCTTAATTTTCCCCAACAAGTATTCACGATAAGATATAACAGTGTTTTGAATCGTCCTCGCTTAGGAAAGCAAAAAACAAAAAAACTTGAAAATCTGAGGACACTGCCGGTTAAATGTAGAATACGCAGCGCAAGCAACTAAAAAGTTTATGATGCCCATGGGGGGCTCTGATAGTCCAGTACAATAAAGCAACACGTCTTTGGAAATTTAAAGTTTGGGGAGGGGGAATAAAAGGGCACTCCAATGGCCGTTTTGGTTTGATTAGCAATTCTCATATGAGATATTACATTGTGAAAACATATTTCCTGAAAAAAAAAATATATATATATAATTATGTTATTATTGCCCCTCTACATCTGTTTATGAACAAAGACGATGCTTGTCGTGGGCTTTGGTCAAAAGCCCAAAGATTATAGGTTTAAAAATATTGTAAACTCATGCTCTGCTAAAACATGTCACTTCTAGCCATTTTAAATATATTACACTACTGTGGACTGTAGCTACGAATATGAGGCTACGCAGCTTGGCTTCACTGGCTCCCTACATGACTACAAATGCCGGTTCTCGTAACTTTCTCATACAAACTACAATAGGCAATGAAGGTGTGCCATGGAAAGTGCACAAGTAGCTTTATTAACTTAATTCTCACTCAAACCGTCTAACAATGAATACTTTACCACACCTTGACAACATAAAAAAATGCACGAAGCAAAGTCACATTCACAAAAGCAGCAAGTCTGGCAAGGAGCAACAAACTGGCTAAGGTACACTGATGCTGTCAGATGATGCTGTCAGAGAGAAAGAGTACAGACTGCGCAGTTGTCGTTGGGAGTGCGAAAGTTGAAAATAGAATGGCTTGGCAGGAAATACAGCTTGAGCATAGAGTAAGGCCACAATGACAGAAAACAGAACAAGCACAGCAATTGCAACATTTATCCCAGGCTGAGTGGTGGACCACACGACAGGTTAATACAAACACAATGTGGGAAAATACGAGAACAGAAAATATAGCATAAAGTGAACAGTCAATGTCAGTGGTGCTAACAAAATAATGACATTGTACGGAACATGTGGAACCGACTGCGGTTCACTTTGGTCTAATGGCAATCTTGCCACATCAAAAAATAATAATAATAATAAATGTGGGGCGACATACTACTTAATGCACACAGCGATAAAATTCAAGTTTTATTGCACCGAAGTGCAACTGAATATGGAATATTGAAGCCTATAAACATGCTGCATGAAAAAGTTATTTTGTACTTGAAAGCACCAGCAGGTCTGTTGTAATAATGAAAAATATGTAATAAAATTATGGTAAACAAAGTAAGCAGAGCATTGTTGACTGAGCTTGAGAAATGATGCCCTCCTTGCATCAGACTAGTAAGAACACTTCTTTTGGAGAGACTAATGAACAATGAAGTCTTCCAAGGTTCACAAAGTACTCCACCTTGAGATGCTATAAATTTTAGTTAGATATATTTATTGAAATCAGCATTTTTTTAAATACGGCCAACGTTGATTCAACGTCTCCTCTGTTTAACTCAGTCTTTTATTCAATACTGCAACTACCTCATACAAACTAAATTGTCCCTTTCAAGCCCTTCAGGGCATAAATAAATGCCTTCCCATGCCACCCATAGCACATTGATGCTTGACCTGTGCACGATAACACGAACACTAAAGTATCACGATCATATTTGGCACAACAGACAGTTGCTGCACTGCAAATGTCGACGAACAAACTATTATGCCTTAATGAATACCTCCACCTTCAGCCACTGAATGATGCATTGGTTGACCCTGTCTTAATTGTGCTAATTGAGGCTCTTCACTATGCACTGAAGTTTTTTTGCGCAGATTTTTCAAAATCGCTAACCCGAAGGAATAAGACCGATCATATCAGGAAAACGTGGTGTAACAAACCACATAACATCATGGCCAGATAATGACACACATTTTTAGCCAAGAAAAAGGGTTACAAGACACTGACGCTACAGTTACACAACAAAAACAAGCAAAAACTTATCACAGTGCTTTCAACTCCAATGGCAGCTGCTTTAATTCTGAGACTACATCTCACAGAAAGCCACTTTTTGATGTATTTTTCATAATAATAAATGTGAATCTTTTTTTTACTTTGAGATCTGGCTTACAAATATTTTTGTTTAGCACTGTTCTTGTAATAACTCGAAAGCATTACGTAAAGACAAAACCCGCTAGAAAAATATGTTGGATACAACAGTAAGTCCAATTTTGTGATTTGATAGAATCAGTTACAACATAATTGCAATCTCAAAACCACAGTAAAAGCCAACTACACGGTCCCAGTTACCTTTTGTACTGCCCTGTATACTTGCTCCATTTATCTGCTACTACACTTTTTGTGTTTTATTTAAGCATGCCTGCTCATGGAATGCTATTGACAAGATGCCCTGAAGTTGGGAATTTATTCAACTTAATTTAGTTTATTACGTTGTAATAATGCTTTAAATAAGATCCTTTGGCTACCCACAATGGTTAAAAAAAAAAGCAGCACTTACATTCACAAGAACAAAACATGAAGATCATCCAGATTCAATGTAACATTAGGTGTAACTTTGTCACTGTGAAATATGATGCGAATATTATTCTAGATAAGATCAGAATGTGTCAAGTGTCTATTCTATTGCTCTATAGAATAATAAATTGTTTTTAGAGTCTTTTGTAAGATTTACTCCCTGAGAGGTTGTTTCTCTGCACACACTCATTAGGTTGGCTTTCTTATAAGCAAGGTTGGAAAGTTACCAAGATATCAGTTAGGGCAGCACTAATCCACCTTGTCCTGTGAAGTTGTGCTGCTTAGGCTAAAATTTATTATGCACCAACATAATGTGCCTTTCAGATTGTTTTTACCAATTATATAAAAGGCACTTTGTAGAATAAGTCACAGAAAAATAACAGCTGCATTGCGAGATCCATCGAATTAGAATGCCATGAGCGCTACTGTTTTATCACAGCCACACAACAAGACCACGTAACCCATTTCCTTCTAAAACTTAGCGGAGGCCAAACAACAAATATCCACACTTGGGAGGCCCATGGCCCTTACTAACTTTACAATATGTGCATTTCAAACAATATTCCAAATATACGAACTGACTTCACGATGCGCTCGCATTTTTAAACTTTCTGTACATACACATGTCAAGAGAACTTAAGTCTTTAAGACAAATAATGACCAAGCCCTTTATGACTAGAATATAATACTGGAGACATACATCTTATTTAGAGATCCTTTCAATAAATAACAAACATTCCAAAACTGGATCTACATAGCAGTGAGATTAAATGTGCTACTTTTCTTGGGCACTTCAATAAGCTCAGTGGCTTTAAACATGTGTTAGAGATCTTGCTTTAACAAAAAAGTTACAGAATGGACAGTTTTAGGGCACATCAGATTCAGGCAGGGTGTGCCTGCCAGCTTATCACATCCACAAATTACACCGAGTCTTCACCAATAGGAGATGACTCGGTTATAATCACAGCAAATCTCACTGAGGCTGCTCCGTCTGAAGCGTGTACATCGCAGCTGCATATATTGCGCACCAGGACAGGTTCTGAAGAGACAACTTGCTGCAGCCAAAGCTGGAATGGGAACTGCAGTCCTTTAGTTAAAGGCACCAGCCCACATCTTATGTTCTTTCTTGATGCCGACCCAGAACAACCTTTCTGTCGTCAGCCGAAGGCACCTTATCTGTTTAAACGGCTTTTTTTTTTTTTTTTCGTTTCTAGTAGTTGAACAGTCTGGTGGTGTTTGCACATGTGACAAGACAGTCTTGTCTTGCCTTCGGAATTTAGACGGGAGAAAAAGTCATTTGAATGTCCCTTTGTTCCAGTGAGTGAATAGATGGGCGCGAAGGTTGCTCGAGTGTGCGAAGGACCGCGAACAGTGCGGGCACTCGTATGGCTTCTCGCCTGTGTGCTTACGCAGGTGCACCGCCATGTTAGAGGAGCTCACTGTGGAGTATGCGCACAGCTTGCAATGGCGCAACTTTCCCATGACAGTGAACAGCGACGATGACGCTGTGACCTCTTTCTCCAACCCTGGAGCAAAAGAATGACATGCGAGGAATTAACGGCACAGAGAGGCTGTCCACAGTGCACTGCAGTACATTGTCAAAGCTGGCAACACAACAAGAAATTGTGTGCAGTGGAAGGCGAAGTTGTACACCTAACTTTGTCTGTACGCACCCTTGTGACAACTGCCTTCTATTCACAAGGTGAGATGCCTGACTTCGCATCAAAATTTTATCATTGTGCGCATTGACGAAAATTATCAACTACTGCTATACTTAGGGTAAAACAGATCCCTGTGGTCATGACACTCACTACCAGAAACTGAAATATTGAGGACTATCCAGTCAAGCTTTAAAGGGATGCAGCTTTCTCTCAAGTACTGTTAGACACTTGACGTTAACATTACGGGGGAGTAAAGCCACATCTTTGTACACACAGGGGAAGCTTTAAAATTCCATAAACAATGAAGGGCACAAAATCTACTGAGCAAGGCTACGTCTACAAGGGTATGATACATATGGCAATGAGGAACAAGCAAACAACAGCATTCAGAAGCCTCAGATAAAGCGAGTGAGGAGAGGTCTAGATCACGAAGTCACGGCTCGTGTATGAACGGCAAATAAAAAATGACTTCACAATGAAAAAATAAATGAAACAAAAAAATTAAAGTGAGGCCACAGACAGAGTCACTTGGTAGCAACATAACACAAAACAAGAAGCAAGACACTAATAGCATCAAGCACAAGCTGTGCGATAGTGTGGGTGAGCGCAAACACATCAAGGCCCGAAAGCATGACACTGGGTGAACGACATCACAAGAACAGCTTCGGAACATGCTGTAATTAATCAATTCACAAAAAAAGGCGTGAGAAAAAAAAGAGCAATTATACCCTACATTAAGACTTTTTGCACTGTACATATAAAGCCACATTTACAAAACAGCAGCATTGGAACAATGTTCAATGACAAGCCACAATTAAAAATAAAACAATTGACTTACATCTATCATTAAAGTTTCTCATAAATCTGAAATATAAAACTTGTATTGTAAAGAGAAATTTACCTGCTAAATACCATTTTTTAACATTACTATATTCTGTAACACATGTTGCTTTAGGTCAACCGTGCTAATGTGAGTGGAGGTCTGAAAATGCACGAAAAACTAAATGTGATGATTAGCAATTGGAAGCTCTACCTAAACCCTTTGTAGTTAAAATACGTAAGCATTCTACAATTTTTTTTTTCCTATGAAATGACACGGACCAGAATAAAAGGATAAACTTGAAAATTGGTTGTGGTCCAAATTCATCCCAATTCCTTACTGTAACTCTTGGCATGTCAAGCTGGAAAAAACAGACACACATGAACCCCTTGACATTTAACTACAGTTCCTAATATTTAACTGGCTACAAAGTCTTGCTTACTTTCACGACAACTACAAGCAACACGTTGAAAGGACTCACAGAAAATTAGTACATCCAAGATTTCCCAGTGCAACGGTCAGTGACAAACATGAGGAAGATGTGCAGTGCGTCACATGTCTTTCATCTACTTGTCTTTGTCTCGAGCATCGGGCAATGTCAAATATGTAGTGCCAACAAGCCCAACAGTCAATCCTGCCAAAAATAAGACCACTAGAAGTTTTGCTGGTTTCCTCACTTTTTTTTTTTACACACAAGGACTACTTGCCATCATTGTTAGATACTTCGACTGACAAACACATTTCACAAGGCTCGCTAAGGGAAGGATTTTTACAAAACAACATAAACAGCGATGTAAAATAAATACGCAAAACTGCAGAAGATCAGAAAAAATAAAATGACTTTCACAAGCGTACATAGCAAAACCTAAAGCAAGCGCAACAAAACAGGGAAGATGCAATGATAAGCATACATGTATTGTTATACTCCAGAGACGCATAAAAAGCTTCAAAACAACTAGCCCCCGGAGGCATTACTTGCAGAGCCAATCTTTACCTACTTCATAACTGTCCGCACACATTCAAGAGGAGTCCACACGCTTAGCAACTTGCTTATTTTATTCGATGGTCTATTGCCGTTTTAATGCTAAAATGATGAACACTAGGATGCAAACATTTTGTATTTTAAAAATGATCATTCAGTATTCAAACACTATATCAAAAATTGATCCATATTCAATCCACTTTTGACACTCTTCTATCTGTACTTGATTCAGTTTTGAAAATTAATATTTGTGCACCCTTACGTTTTAGTGTGATGATAAACTGCTTGCAATGTCTTTAGTAGATTGTGAAATGCGATCACCTTGGACACCTGAAAAGTGCTAAAAGTGCCTTACACAACTTTAGTGTCTTTCGCTTGTTTCCATATACATTCATGAAGAGTTCGTTTCGATTAAATGGGAGTAGAGATGAAACTGCCAATCTTCACAAGCCAGTTAAACTACACCTACCAGGTCATGGCAAATCTCAGCTACAGCAGTTCTCTCTTTATGGTCCTCTGGCAAATCTTGTTTGCACACAAGCAATCAGCATATATAACAGTATTAAGCTTCATTGAGCACACTCCTTTACAGCGCTTCTGTAATCACTCAACAAAACCTAGTAGCACCGGAGAGCGCAACATTGTAGAATTAGTTTTTTTAAAAGAATGTGCCGATGGTTTTTGCCAAAAAATTTATTACTTCATCTGCTCAGCCTTTGGTGTCAGTTAAGACAACTTTGCGAAAGAAACCTCGTCATTACTTAGCATGTATACCTGAAAATATTAGCTTCACACTTAAGCTTCCCAACTACCACTTTTCAGAAAATATCAAGCAGTAGCACAAAACCACACACCTAGTATGGCAGCACGAAAATGGATACTTAAGGAAACTGTTTTTAAACTTTAAACACCCCTAAAGTGTACAGCAAGTTGAGGGACTCCTTGACGGAGGCCTCCGAATCAGGTTCAAGATTCTGTGGTGCTTACAGTAACACAAGCGTCTCTGCTCTTTGCCTCCATAGCCAAGTCCTTCATATGTGGGTTAAATTAACTAGGACTAAATCTACGTGCACTCTAACCTCATTATAACAGTCACGCCTGCCACAAAAATACTTCGTTATATCCAAAAATTTGTAATAAACATACATCTACTGCACTGTATTCTTCACATAGCTATTTTTGACTTTGTCATAACCAATAGTAGTTCATTATATCTGGGTTCATTATAGCGAGGTTGCGGTTTGCGTACTCAGTAGCAATATTACACATCTCTTGAGATTCCACGCTGGATAATGATTGACAAAGAAAGTTGCGATGGCACACCCTTTAACCTTGTGCCACTTGTGCCAGTTGGAGGGATGCATGTACAGAAGTTTTCAGAATGGGTGGCTGTGAAAGAATATGTTCCAAGCTCTGAGCCGCCTTGGACTCATGAGGTTTTAAGCAACGACTTGCACGTGTGGCAGCAGGTGATCACATCACACATGCTGCCTGTTGCTTACGGTACTCTGGGAACAGCTATACTGAATCTACGCAGCTCTTGAGTGCAATTTACCAAGGATTCAACAGAAAGCTAAACTGCCTCTTCCAAATTATGGTGGGTCTAGAGTTGTAACCAGCGGACGTAACCGTGAAATTGACTTTTGTGCCTCTCGAAAGTTGAACATAAAAAGCTTAGATAGAGTCGAAGCTTTTACGTACAGGCGCATTCCAAAAAATGTCTAGCACGAAGACATGCTTAGCTGTGATTGGACGTCTTCAAGCCTGTAATTCAATTGGAATTTCTTTTAAACCATAAAGTCCTACACAATGCAATAAACTACACAACTCTACAGCAAATATTATCACTTTTAAAAACTTTCTTTTGCTCAGCAGCCATTGTATGTAACATAGAACTGAGAACCAAGAGGTTGCACGGTGTATATACACAATGTAGATAAAATGGTGGGACGAAAGCATTACAATAGCAGATGGAATAGTTTTCCCCCGTACAAATTTAACATAGAACAGTGATATCAAAGCAAATACATGTACATACAGTACTCCCAGACTCAAGTGCAGCACCAAATTTTTTAGTATAACAACTTTTATAAACAAATGCTCAAGTTGACCACGTCATGTCATTACGAATCTGGTCTCTAAAGATAATGTCAGCTATAATGCACACGTTTGAGCCGAAATTACGCCGATGTGAATCAAACTGACGATGGTTGAATCCAAAGTTTGTGTGTTACTTAGCCCCAAATTGTCCTGTTTCAATCTCTGAGTACTGTACAAAAATAAATGTACAAGAAGAAACATTTTTCTTACTTGAACGAATCTAAAAGAACTTTAAGAATAGTCTAAGTAGGGATTGTGTCAAATTGCATGTACTAACAATGCCTGCCTTTATTCATTTCAAATGTCTCTGTTCATAAATATCTTTATTCATAACTGTATTACTCAAAGAAGGCTACAAAAGCATACAAAGATGTTACCTCATCAAGGTAGATGAGTTGAGACAACCGCTTTGTCTATGAAGTACATAATGTAAAAAAATTATGATAACCAACAATGCAAGCTACTAAGCATGCGCAATAACGATAACATCACAATGACTACTTCATCACTAACTACTATTTCACAACACACACATGCTAATGTGGCTAGCAATACAAAAAAAAGATAATATAATCCTAATGAGATTTTAGGTTTCTATCTGAATCTACAAGACATATTGAAAACATGTATATAAATCGAGTAGAATGGTTTTTTTCATTGTATTGAAATGTTTGGGTATCAACATTACAGCAGCGCTAGTAAATATAAAACAGTAAGTTCAATGACTGAGTGGAAGTAACACAGCAAACAAAATAACAGTACCTAAATCCCCATTCATTTCAAAAGCTCACAGTAACAACACGCTTAGGATTGATATTACATACTGACACATCGATATTTCAGCAACTTGACTAGATAAAAAATTGCATATCACTTAGCAACATTTACACAGGATATGCTAGTGCAAAAATGGCAGCAGCAAGCAAATTATAATTAAAGACATTCCACCCACAACCCCCCACTTAACTATGTTACGAAGTGCAAACACGTCTAACACAAGCAATACTTGCAACTCAGTACCTTGAGAAAAAGGCCAAGTTTAAAATTTCGGTACAAATTCTTTCTCTTTTTTTTTGTTTTTTGAAATACTGCAAGAAGATTCACTAACAACTTTCCAAACTGTGTAAATATATCAAATCCCCTCAGAAAAAAAAAAGTGATCATTTAAGTATTCGTTTAATGGAAGACTGGTGTTAGCGTCATACTGGCAAAATTTTACGCTTAACAAGACGTAAATTGCAGGCAGCTGAAAAATTTGTGATCTTGGAATTTCTGCACATGCCTATGATAAAGCAGTGCCTAAACTCCTAGTTTTTCATCAATTCTCCTACCAGATGAAAAAGGCTGGAGAGCTTACCCATTTCAAAATTTATTTATAGGTGAAAAATCCAAGGAAAACAAAACTCATCTCGAGGGACATTAACTACCACTGATTCAACTCTTGTGCCATTGCAAGGAACAGAGAGGTAAATGTGTGTCATAGTACCAATTTTCGGCGGTGAAAGAATTTAGTTGCATAAATTTTTATCTGCATCCTGACAGTATTTAGGTTGCCTTCTCTTCTAGTATTAAAACGTAGTGCCAACACTAGCAAAAGAACTTGTTTGTAATAAAAGCAAGGACAATACAAAAGCAAGAAACCAGAAGATTTTTGAAAGTGCAACAATTAGCAATGAACACAAACAAATCCCAATCAAAAGAACCCCAGTGCAAGCAAAATGACAATGTTGCCATTGCAGATGCAGGAAATGCTGAAACAGCTGAACACAAAAGCCAATGTTCACATGTGCACCTCAAAATGAGTCACGCCACGCTTAGCCAAGTATTTTTTACAGTGAAAGCTGTTACGAGATCAGAACACAACTCACGCGTGGCGCCGTAGCTGTCCGCCGCCGCTGCCGGTGTCCGTAACCAGTATCGAACAAGAAAAAAGCTCAGTAAATAAAAACACCAATGACATCTTGAGATTCGAACCCACTTTGGCAACGGGCCAGTAGTACGCAAACAGACTGGACAAAAGGAAACAATGCCATGCTTTCAGAAATTGCAAGCTCACAGCTAGTGATGTTTTTGTTCCATCAACCTGAAAGTGTTCTTTTGAAGGCCTGTCCGAGCTAATGAGCACGAAAATGCATTTTCGAAGGACAACATCGTCCCAGCTCGTGCGCAAACTCTAGTGAAGTGACTGTGGGAGGAGACACACGACTTAGCCGCACCTCCTCTTCCCGGAGCAAATGCCGTGTCAAGAAGGTGCAGCGGACCGACATGACCACAGTTCCCGAGCTGCACATGTCCCAGGAACTGGGACGCAGACAGCAACCTGGTACATGGCACAAGGTCTGGAAGCGGTAAGAGGTCTGGCACACACCTTATACCCAAAATAGTTGAACACGGCTTACAGATTCGCTGGTGCCCGTGCATCGCACCGGCAACAACCCAGCAGCCTCATTGATTTGCAATTAACTACTACAGCGTGTCCTCACAGCATCTTGTCTTTTGCCGGGGCCAGCTGGAATGCCAACCTTGATCGCTGTGGGATGAAGAGATGGGATGTGATCATTCAGTTTATTTCGACGAGTACTCTTATAGGGACATAGGTGACACTTGTACGGCCTCTCGCCCATGTGCTTGAGCATGTGATTGGCCATACCCGGTGCAGAGCTTAAGGTGTGCTTGCATACCAGGCACTCCCAGAATGGTTCCAAACGAATGAATAAAAAGGATGGCTTGACATGATGTGCCTGAGCATGGGCGTCGATGTCGCCGGAGGAGTCCGTGACGAAGCCACAGAGGAGGCACTTGTGTCGGAGGCCGAACTTGCGGTACTGGCGCGATACATCCCTGATCAAATGAGGCACTGTAATGTCAAAAAAAAACAAATAAAACTATGAACCTATATGAGTCATGTTGCTCGAGACTCGCGAGAAAACTGTCCCCTTATAAGCTGTATCGTTTTTACACTGCCAATCATGCTTACAATAGGTGCAAATGAACATCCTTCTCTTGGCAATACACCTGAGCTACCACCCCACGAGAACAACTTCAATATCTAAACAACCTTGAGCCATCAAGTGAGGCCTCTTTACAATATTAGGGGTGCATTAAGCAAGAACTCTTTCTGTGATCCATTCGTTTAACATTTGTTGGAGGCAAATCTAACATTCACAACAAACTTTGATTCCAGAATATTTAGTGATAAGTGTAAGTAAATTCCCATCTATCCTGGTGGTGCCTTGTTAAGAATGTTCAAATTTTGGACAAAACAAGAACTGGTTTTGTTGTTTTGACAGATTATGTTACATAAATAGTTTGGATTTCGATGCCCTAATAAAAGATTACACCAATGTGCTATGTGTAGCGCAGGGAGTGATTCAACTATCACTCCCTCACCAAGGGTAATTATTTCAGCATGCAGGAAGGTGTACTAAAACACAATAGCAAAACAAAATCAGGTGCTAATGGCACATGATAGGTGACCAGCTAAATTGACCCAAGAGCAAGAAATGCCAAAACCTCCCACCACAATGTTCATGCAAACAGGACACAAGAAAAGCAAAGACATCACAATAGCGTCCTTAAAACTGAGACAAATATCACTGTGATCCTTAATTAAAAACAAAAAAGCAAGGCAATCAGGATGCAAAAGCCAATTTCACCACTAAGAGATGCAACACCACAAAGTAAAGACCACGAAGTGCAGTTCACATAACACACTACAGCATACATGAAACTTGAGACATACAAGCAAAAAAAGTCGGCACATTTCACAATAGATGGACTGAACAATTTGCAACAAAAGAGAGGAATACGGATGGCCTTTTCCCTTCGCTAAATTCAAGTTTTGTAAACAGGCTGAAAAGAAGAAAAAAAGGTGTACAAGAGCATTAATTTCATTTGCTCAAGTGCAGCCAAATTGTGACTGTGACAGTTTTAAGCAAGTCAATACAGTGTCTACAACTTGAATGATAGAACTAGTACTGGTCACACTGCTAATTTTAACAAAAATTGGTAATGGGGTTCTGACACAGAATTTTTCACTCAACCTTTTTTTTTGCGTCAAACAAAAGGCCAAGCCACCGAGAGCGTGGGAAACGAACCGGTAAGCATGAGCCGGTAAGCAAAACGAACCGGTAAGCAAAAAAAAATTCCTGGCCTGCGCAGAAGGCGCAGCACAGTCACAGCGAAAGCTAGAAGAGCGGCCTTTCAGAGCCTCTTCGAAACATTCATTGGGTGACTACTGCAAGCACACTTGCTTGATAACCACTAGGTCATTACTAATAAATTTATTTGGGTAGCACGCTGGCATTCACTATGCTATTCTTCGTCATTTTTCTGAGAAGTGTGGTATCCGCTAAACACTTGCAAGTAATTTTGTGCCAATTGTTCATGCAGTGGCTGACGACGATAAGGAATTATGGCTGAAGTGGGTATTTGTCACAGTTCATGGGGAAACAAGAACAAGCTTTTGTAATGGGTTGGAGCATTGGACGGCCCATTCCTTACGCTAGTCGCATCGTGCGACAACTGGTAGTTCTTTCGCTGTTGTAAAACGCTTCATAAGTCGTGTTAACACAACGCTTTCCCGACATCAAGCCTGCCTAAGGCAAGTTTCACAGCAAGTCACAAGCATCGGAGTAGCTCAACGGTAGAATACTGGGCTGGCACCCAGCGAACCTGGGTTCGAGCCCCACTGTGTCATTGGTGCTAGGTCAAGCCTGCCTAAGGAAAGTTTGACAAGTTACAAGCACTGGCGTAACTCAGTGGTAGAATACAGGGCTGACACCCAGTGGGCCCGAGTTCAAACCCCACTGTGTCATTGGTGGTAGGCTTTTTTTTTAGTTTCGCGCGATATGATTATGGACACCTGCGGCAGCAGACAACTGCACGTGACCCGAGTTGTGATCTCATAACAGCTTTCACTGTAAATTAATTACAGCATGCTTTTAAAAGCTACTTTCGGTTCCTACTGTAACCCGACGACCGACATGGTAGGAGCAGCGCCACCGGGAGGCAGTATGTGCATGAGCCCGTTTTTGTGACGTGTCCTCGTTCCTGCATTGCTTCTTCGATCGTCTGCTTTGTCTGCTGCGCGCCGCAAGTGTGGCAACTGTCGCCGCAGGTGGGCATGACGCTGGGTTAGCATCACTTTTAAGACAATCCGAAGTCAGTTAGCAATGTTGTGCGTGTACGTGTCTGGAGTGAAGTGCGCGAACGAAGTTAACTCTGCTAGGTTGACGTCCAGTTTTTGCCTCAGCCGCGGCGCACAAAGTTGACCCACGCTTGTACGAGCCCCGAATTGGTGAAGCTTGCACCTATTGTCCCCTATTGCACTGGTGCAAGACTTCACAGTGCACAATATTGGCGCCATGATGACAAATTCGAAATCAGACAATTCCTTTGTTTCTCTAGTAGGCGTATGTCTACTAACGTTGTGGGGTCTCGAATTGGCGAGAGCACCACGCTTTTGGAGTGAAAGGACGCAGTAGACACGGTCGGTACAAACCAAAGAACATACACACATTTATTTAACTAATTTATAACAATAATATTGTCTGCCACATCGATACATCAATCGTTATCAACAACCAAGGACATCCGTACACAATATGACCATACACTCCATGACAAACACAATAACACGACAAACATACAATAATGTGACAAACACAATAACACACCCAAGGCAGCGTCGCGAACGCTTGACTTACCACAAGGGCCCCCGATGCGCAGGCCGCGGTACCACGCGCCCAGGACCCACGCTAGAGACAACCGTTCGCGGCAACCGCCACGCACCAAAGAGACTCTCGCCCGCCACCAAGGCTTGCCTTCCGCCAGGGGTCACTGCCGGCGCTACCACTACCAACCATGATGATGATAGTGGTGCTCAATGCGAACACAGCGCTATTTATCTCTCGGTGGTTGTAACTCGAAATCCGGCTTTTGGGCGAGACACGTGCTCCACGCAGCCCAAACAACTTTACAGGGAGTGTCAGCACCCCCCAACGTGCACATACACTGTGCTAGACTCCACTAATTCACTTTACAGGTACGCTGTATGACAGTGACTGCATGACAGCAAGCAGGCGATCGAAAAGCAACTTGCAAGCTGCCATTTTTTGTGTTTTGGTGCTTGACGTCATCACAACTAGCCAGAGTGCTGCGTGAAGTCACCAGGATTAGTACTATAGCCTGACGTCAAGTTAGGGTGGATGTCGGTAGGTGCACCACGAGAAAAATGACTTAAATATTAAAATAAAATATCTTATCAGCCTTTGCTGAGAGTCACACTTGCTCAAAGCAATCACTGTATACAGGAGATCTGCATGGCAGAATAAACTTGCCTCCAAAAAAGGTGTCAGTACCCCTTTAACTTCCATTATACGCTGTACAACAATATCCCTACAGTACACCACATCTATCATAATTCAATTTGGGCCAAATCTTTTTTGAAGTCTCTGCTTACAGTATTGTTTAACTGCTGTAAAATTTATCTATTTAACTACTATCTATAGCTACATATCTTATGAGAAAGTAGCATGTACTGCTGAAGCAATGATAACGTTTTCTATTTTTGTAGCTTTCAAGGACACGTAACCAAATACCACATGTGCCTGGTAGTTACAACATGAAAAAAAAGGGGGGGGGCCTTCAAGAGGTTCTACTACCGCCCCTCTCTGAGGAAACGCCATGGAGCTGGAAAAGGTAGATTGTGCCCTAGTCACATGTCCCTTCTAGCAAACAAAGTTTCAGTATCAAAAACAACTGTTTATGCAAACTTTCCGGGATGTATCTGCTCACATTCTAAATACAAAAATACATATACACTGTCTCACACTAGGGCTTTTATGTGGCACAATGTTTTGCTTCTATTTGGCATTGGTTCATTGATTGATATGTGGGGTTTAACGTCCCAAAACCACCATATGATTATGACAGACGCCACAGTGGAGGGCTCCGGAAATTTCGACCACCTGGGGTTTTTAACGTGCACCCGAATCTGAGCATACAGGCCTACAACATTTCTTCCACCATCATAAATGCAGCCGCCACAGTCAGGATTCAATCCCGCGACTTGCGGGTCAGCAGCCAAGTACCTTAGCCACTAGACCACCGCGGCGGGGCTCCATTTGGCCTCTGTCTCTGTCATACAATCAGGTATGACGAGTAGCAACTTGTGAATTGATGCCTCAGCTGTTCGTCTTACCAGCGCAGTGCTGAAGCCCAATATGTTCGCACAGTACTAAGCACACTGTTGGCCTTATTTCTGTGTGTTAATGCATTTGGTAGATAGTAAGAAAAAACGTTGGCTTTGGTGACAGTTTTCCAAAAATATTTATCACTTATACCGTCCCATTCCACATCACCATAGAAGCGCATCTCTGATATGGCTAGCTGCACAAACTGTATACAGCACTCTCTCCTTTCTTTTTCCTGCTGCAAATACCTGACAGTGAAAGTTAAAGGTGTTTTAACGAATGCTGAGGATTAAAAGTGCAATCCAGTATGCAGATGTCTAGTGATAAATGTGTTCGTGCAAATGCAAGATCTAATTTAAAGTCGTTGTTGTTGTTGTTTTTTCAGAATAAAGACATGTCAGTTTATGAGGAAAGAAAAAGGATCCGATCGCAAGGGAGTATCGGACTAATTACTTGATGTGGCTACTTATGTGTAATTAATGTGTACTCAAATCAGGAAACAAAAATCCATCTATTGACACACTTTGCAAGAAGCATTACTTGCATTCATAAAATGGTGAACCTGCTAAACAAAACAGGAAGTATAGGTACAATACATCGGAACAAAAAGGTGCGGTGCATTGCAATAGAACAAATTTCCAAAAAAAAAAGCATTTATTCAGAGTGCAAAGTAGCTTGGAAGTATTCACACAGCAAAGATGGCACACGAAGAAACGTGTCTATGTCAGGTACAACTAAGTGGCAAGCTGTATAGAGAGCAGGCCAAGGATAGCTGGGCACAATTTCACTGCTGCACTAACCTAGACAACGGACCCCACTTCTTCTTCAATTCCTCCACTACAATAGGCGACAACTTATCTCGACATTGGAGCGAGGGCTATGGAGCTTGGTTGGTTAAGCTTGGTTAACCTCCCTGGGTTTCCTCTCTATTTCTCACTCTCTTGTGAGTAGTATGGCAGCTTCTGGCTCACTTCCATTTTGCTGGCTCGCAACGCGTGAAGAAAATTATATATATGGAAAATGTGGATGGGAGAGATGTTTTGATGGTTCCGTGTACCTTTTGGTGTCATATTATGAGCATATTTTTTTTTAGAACTGAACAGTGCGTTCACCACTGCACACTGACCCACTACGTCATAGACGCCACATTTACTGTGGAAAACGGGTCTGCTGAAAAGGTGGTTCTGTCTAACAAACGAAAGAAAGGAAAGGCGTTCTTGCAAAGTGACAAATGGTAACGATTTTACCTAAGACTTTCTATAACTGTATAAGTCTAGTAATAAATATAGCAGCATTTATTCTAGCAAGGCAAATGAGAAAATTATCAGCAAACTAAGTACTACTTAGGGGCACGGTAGCAGGCATGCACTTCGGTTCTGTAGCTTCTAGAGTGCTGACAAGAGAAGCTGTTACTGCACCACTTCCTTGTTTCTGGTGCACCGCTGCACCAGAAACAAGGTCGTTGTCAGGAGACAACATGGTGCCAGGAAAGAGTTGATATGATGACCTTGTATATTGTAGTTGCTGAGCCCCACAAGCATGCCCTGCTTGTGATATCCTATATGGTCCAGACTCAGAGTTCAAAGGTGACATTACGACAAAGTAGGTGGTATGAATAGTTTTCTCAGGGATAACTATTATTTACATGCCCAATACATGTCTATTCTTTTTCTATGTCGTCTGAATTGTCTGTAAGGACAAAGATTTGGACTGGTATTATTTGATGTGTGCGTCCTTGGCTTAAGTTTTATCCCTGCCAGATCGCGCACTTTTATGGCATTCTTATCATAATGTCACTCGCGATTAGAGCACATTACGAAGTCATACCAAATTCACATGGCAATGCTTTTCAAAAGGCAGATTTTCTGAAAACCTTCACAGCCTACACCTTAAAAGAGATCAAATGCTATCCTATTGTCTCATGGGATTGACAGAAAAAGATGCAGATAATGCGCTGATAGAAAAAGCTTTTATTCCTAGCATTGATAGATATGTGGGGTTTAAAGTCCCAAAACCACCATATGATTATGGGAGACGCAGTATTGGAGGGCTCCGGAAATTTCGGCCACCTGGGGTTCTTTAACGTGCACCCAAATCTGAGCACACGGGCCTACAACTTTTATTCCTAGCAACTTCCACAATTTGAATAACTACTTCGTTCATATTATGGTGCTCACTATTGTCAACATTCTCAAGTATGTGCACTAATACGCTTTGCACACGCAAATCGCTTTTGAACCTCCCATCTATTCAACCTGGATAAGCATGCTGTGCCTGTCACGTGGCTGTACTCTCCAGTTATTAAAATTTCTCTAACACATTTCGTGACATCCCCATTTGGGGACATGACTTCCTAGAGATACATGTATACGCAAATTCTGCAGACATTGCATCGACACAATGTGGTGCGCATAGTGCGACAATAAGTTTTCAGTAGGCCTAGTGGCACACGGCACCAGACAGAAGGGGGTGCTTTCGTCAGAGGTGAACGCGATTATGACTAAAAATCTTTACTGCAATTTTCACCCAAGCGTAGATTATACAACGAGTTGAATCTGGATAGAGAAATTTCATTCTGATGGGGCCATAAAAAGGACTTGATAATAAAATTTGATCTATAGGAATAGATGCTGCAGTTTAACACTGGTATGAGGTAGTAATGTGCCAGCTGTAAGAATCACCTAGCTACAAGGACCCAAAATGCAGAGTACCTTTCTCTGTGACATGACTGTACATAACTGAACGTTTCTGTCAATGGCGTGACATCTGCTGCCAAAAACAGAACATAAGCTCATTCCTACACCACCATTGAACTAGAGTAGTTATTGTCTGACTGAATGCCGGAAACCTGGTAGACTAACATCCTCCAACTGGCCATGAGACCGAGCCAATCACTGTTCAATCTTAAAGCTGGTGGGACTACGTTGAGGACATTTCCCTCTGATTTCCATCAAGCAATGCACTGTGTGCGAGGTATCAAACAGCGAGAAAGCACAAGTACAGCAAAGACTACACACCAAAATGGCGAGTCGTGCAACAAGAAAGTTGCATACAGTTTTTCAACTGGGAGTAAGAAAAAATTTTATTGTAAAACAACAAACAATGGCTGCTCCGAAACAACACACGCGCATCACGCTTCTCAGGCAGCAAAATCATGCGCACTAAAGTGCTGTTCTTCCAGGTTACACGGAATCACATTCACAAATTTTTGTTCACAACGCCGGCATTCTGACAATCAAGTTTCACAGGATGCACTGTGAAGTCTGCATAAAAATGCCTTAAACAACAAAGAGCTTTTTCACAGATTTCACTTAAGTAAAATGCAATGCGGAGCTGTAATATCCCATGATGCGACTATAAAGAAAACGTGTATAGTTAACTGTATGTCGCTAATTACAGTTCCAACAATAGTACAACAGAGAGGTTCACAGATTATTTATAAAGGGCAATGGGACCAGCAATATGGAAAATGTTGTTTAATTTGTTTTGAGCTTGATTGTAGAGAAACCATATTTTTTTCACATAACACCAGTTATACCTCCTGTCTGCTAATACGCTTTAGTACTTGCCATCAAGGTAGCGAATGCAATAACAGGTCATAAAAAAGGTAATGCTCTAGTGTTTGTGTTATTTTATCACTAATTACCTGCAAAACTTGTTTACATATGCACATTTGTCTAATAATCCCTTTATCCTCCTCTCCTCTACTTTCCACGATTTCGATAGGTGCAAAAAACTTTGAGCTCATATGGGCATTAAGTTTACTAGCCAGCGGGCCTCTTTTAACATAGAACCACACTCCCAAGGAAGATTAACATTAAGCAGACAGCACACACCCAAGCTAGATTACATAAAAAATTGTAAATAAATCTAGATTAGCCTGACCTGAGAAGAAACACTTCTCAACAGTAACTTATTGGCCATTATATTTATTGCACTGAAACATGCCAGTAAGACAACTGAGAAATTCAATACCGAATGGGCAATCAATCAATACCGACTGCCCGTTCAGAATCCGTCGCACATTTCATAATGGCACAGTATATATGCCAACAATCTATAAATACCACCACTGTAGTCTGTATTTAACATGTGATCGAAATGTGAAATACAAGTTCGTGCCCCAGGAAAATGAAAAGAGGCATTCAAGATGATTGAAAAGCTTCTACAGAAAATGGCACACAAACGACGATGGATGCAAATAACACACGTAGTTGGGCAAACAGCTGCAACTCCCCTAGAAAGAAATGTACTGTTGGAAACTAAAAATGCGGCACTAATGTAGCACTTTGGAATGCCATGTGTTGCTCATTTTTCAGAGACAAGGTGCTATTAGAACAGGTTCCTTTGACAGGATAACATTCTGTGATGCCTAATTGACAAAATTATAATTTTTTGAATAATTACACAGTATTATATATTGCCGTTAAAAACTATGGCTTGGCAGTAACAATCAGATGTAAATTCATTAAGGTGTAGTGTTATTTTCATGCATTTTCCCCTTCGCTTCACTGTCTATTCACTCTGTGTGTACGTCACTAGCAAAATCAAGCCCATCGGTTCTAATTGTATATATCACCAATCCAGTATGATATTTTTTTTTCTGTGTGTAATGTAAGAGAGTGCAGATCAAAGCAGGGAGCACAGCAGCCCAAAAAGTAAGCCAACGCACTCGTGGCTCATGGCCTTTTTTTTTCCACTGTGCTGCCTACACTAATTGCACAGGGCTGACTAGTGCACACACAAGAAATATTGCAACACCACATGATCGGATAGCTGCCCACTTCCATGACGGCTGTAGTGGCGGTGCACTCGGTGCATATACATATTCAGCTGAATGCATAGAAGAATGTCTAACACGGTAAAACGTACTGTCGGACTAGTTTGTTCATGCTGATCAAGAGGTAAAGATGAAAGCCACAGTGAAAAAAAAAACAGGACAGGAAGGAACACTTTTTTTTGTCCCTCTTTTCTTCACTTCGAATTGCATACCCACCGCTTGCTCAGAAAACGCCTCCTTTGTTACTCCTTTCGTGGCTTGACAAAGCGAAGCCTTGTAATAACAATAAATGTCGAGATGTTACGTCTCCAAACAACGACGTGATCATGAGGGTAACAAAGCGAACCCTTGTAGACAACCACAAATCACTCGAGCTGCCCAAAAGATAAAAGCAAAACGACAATAGAACTGTTCCAGCTAGACTACCCAAAAAAGTTGCGAAGGTAATGGCGAAGATTTAGCTTCACATCGCAAGCCTGTAACGACCAAAGATGTTTAGTAGCCAGCGATCCCTTCATTGACAGCGTACAAGTGTAAATAAAGAACTACATTTGAGGACATTACCAGGACAGTGCGCAAGAGTCACAGGTAAACTTGATTGCACCGCGAGTAATGTGATAAATGGCACAATTGTAACACCCATAATAAAAAAAACTATATGCGTTCGTCTAGGGCAGCTGTAAAAAGGCTACAAGCTGCTGTATTACACTCTTGCACAGCGCAAGTGTTTAGCAGGTGATACTCACAGCTTGACGTCATAAAACAAGACAATGAGCCCCAAGGCTAGACTCGAACTTGACCAGCATAAGTACTTTAATGCGTACCTAAATCCAAGTACGCCAGCACTTTGTGCATTTCACTTCCATGGGAGGCTAATATAAACTCACTACTAAAAAATAATAACAAAACAAAGGAGAAAAAGAAGGAAATTGGCACTACCACTTAAAAAAAGACTAGTGCGCGTGTTTACTAGAACGACCTGCTCTGCTGGTACCGGCATCCCAATCAGCTCTGCGAAAGGTGTCTATTTAGGGTACCGATGGCCCACAAAGGCAGAGATCCAACAGGCAACAATGTACATAGAGAACGATTAGACAAAATTGCCGGTGCACCTGAAGCAAACGTCAGCCATGAACAGGACATTTCCTACCGACTTTAAAATTAAGAATCGCTTCTGCCACTGCTTCTCAAACCAAATGTACCATCTGCCAGGAGCAGAACCAATAGGAGTGAATGGGAATAACACAACTAATGTTGCCTTGGACTGGATCTGAACATACTTGTTGTAATACCAAATGGCAAATTTGAAGTAAAGATCATTACATCAGGACTTGGAGGATTGCGAGGGACCATTTGGAACCAACAAGCTAGCAAGTAGAGTTACTGCCACTGTAATCAGTTAAAATTACAGTGCTAGAGTACTAAGCCAAAAATTCACCGTCGATTATGATACTGCCTCATGCAAATTCTGAGCGTAACTTTGGGTTGGGGCAAGGTCAGCTGTGTTCGAAGTTTTGGCTTTTGGCAAGATATCGAATACATTGTATTCAATTTTTGTGAAGTACAGCACCCACTGCCCTATTATTCATCTTTCTGCGGACAAGCATGGTACCTGCTACACATCTGTAAGGTGTTATATGCACTGTGTTGATTCTGCATTGTGTGTTTTAGAAAAGATTGAGTCCCCCCCCCCCCAACCCACCTGCCCTCGATTTTTGACAGATTAGTACACAATCAATTCCGTGTCATAATTGGGAGATGATTTAGACTCCAACCAAGAGATTTGAAGAAGCCCGAAGTTTCGAAACCAACTTGGTTCCTTCCTCAGGGGTGACTGCGGGGACTACGTAGCAGCGGCGTCTTCAAAGCACTCCCAGGGCGGATAATGACCCCCCCTCTCTCTCGTTTTGTCGTGGCGTGCAGTCCATGCGTATACACTGCGTGAACGGTTCCGAGAGAGCGGTTGGTGTTATGGGCTGTCCTCTGTATGTGCCACGACACGAGTAATAACCTTCTCCTCCAGTTCGGCTCGCTTTCAAGGATGGTCGTCGCTTCGAAATGTTATGGGCTGTCCCCTGTATGTGCCACGACTCGAGTAATAACCTTCTCCTCTAGTTTGGCTCGCTTTCATGGATGGCTGTCACTTCGAAATCACCAGATAAATTCGAAGCGACGGCCATCCTTGAAAGTGAGCCGAACTGGTGGAGAAGGTTATTACTCGAGTCGTGGCACATACACAGAATAGCCCATATCAACCGCTCTCTCGGAACCCTTCTCGCAGTGTATACACATGAACTGCACTCCACGGCAAAACGAGAGACAGAGAGAGAGGGTCATTATCCACTCCGCGAGTGCTTTGAAGACACCGCTGCTACGTAGTCCCCGCAGTTACCCCTGAGGAAGGAACCGAGTCGGTTTCGAAACGTTGGGTTTCTTCAAAACTTTTGGTTGGAGTCTAAATCAACTCCCAGTTTTATACCCAACCAGACAGATTTCTGTCGAATGTTTACATTCACGTATCATAGTTGCTTGTAATAAATTATACTTCTTAGTATTTTATAATTAGTCAATTACTTCTCACTTAATAAGAGTAACTGTATTTCAATTACTTTTTCGTAACCAAGCACATGTCATTATCATAAGCATCATTTATGTACCCTGCAAGACAAGGGCCTCTCCCAATGACCTTCAATATGCCATATTTTGTGAAAGTTGATTTCATTTGATGCAGTGAACTTAACTTTGTCACTCTACTCGCTACCATTTTTCGCTGCGTTTCTTTTCTTAAACCTTGGTAACGATTCCATCACTCTAACTGACCACCGACTATGAGCAGCCCAATTTATGCGAATTAGAATATAGGCTACCTTTGCTTGTTCCCTGATGCATTCTGCTATCTTTTGGTCTCTTAAAGTTATACGCATCATTTTCCGTCTGTATAACATTAATATGAACTGATTAGTATCGACCAGTTCATACCACTTCTTTCTCGTTTTAACAATGAGACTACCAGCTTAAGGCAGTATATGCACACAATATAACACATATTAACAGTAGAATACAAACAGGCATGCAGTATAGTACTGTATAGCTTGAATGAAGAAGAAAAGTGCTGAACTCATTTATTGTATCAACTGTTTCTCGGTTCCTTGATACCATAGCAACACGTTTAACAGTACTTTTGAAAGAACAAGTGAAGAAGCAGCAACAAGTATGCTATCACTCAATCACATTCAGTTGTCTGGCCCCCTGCACTTTGACATAGTGGAACCAGTAAAATACATTGTTACATTCACAAACTAGACAGCATTTGTATTATGCTTCACTTCATTCGTCTCATTATTTTAGAACTCATTCAAGCTTTAGTAATGCCCATGTACCACTTTTTTTATGGCTTATCTTCCTGTATACGAAATACCTGTAACATCACTGGACAGTCAGTAAATTCTGATTCCGAGTTGGAAGTGCTTGTCGCAGCACCTGGTTCTGACTACACAAGCATGCACAACAATTCACATGAGCTCCTCATGTGCAGCGCCTACCCAGGTGTCTAGTCTAGTTGCCCTGCCGCATCGCTTCCACACTCGCGAGCATGCTCCTTCAGACAGGCGGCATTGGCAAACAGTTGCAGGCACTTCTGGCACTGACACTTAAAGCCTGTGGCAGCAGTGTGCAGGCACCTGTGCGAGAGCAGCGTCACCCTCTGCGCAAACGACTTGCCGCAGCTGCCGCAGTGGAAGGGTTTGTGAAGTTGATGGGTGCGAAAATGGCGGCTACGGTCGCTGCTCTTGGCGAACGCGGCCGGGCACAGGTGGCAGCGGTAGGGCCGCTCCCCGGTGTGCTTGCGCATGTGGATGATGAGTGACGAACGCGTCGTGGCCACGTATTGGCACATGGGGCAGTCGCGGGCGTCTGGGCACGATGCCACGGCAACGGCGGCGGCACGAGCCATTTCCACTCGGCTCATGACTTCTGCGGGAGAGAAAGAATCATGCCAAACAGGCAGCAGCTCAGTGTACTGCAAGGCACCTACACAAACTTGACAGGGATGGGTTGAGTCACTTCTGAGCCGGTTATCAGATTTAGGCACAATGGAAAGTGGAACTGATTATATGGTTGGGGCAGGTTATCAATCTGTCTACAAACAGAAGAGAAGAATTTATTTCATTTCACAGAACAGAAACTAAAGTAGAGGAGACTATCATAAAATTCCGAGCAAGTGCACTCTCCCATTTCAGTGCCAATATAAAATTTGCTTGCCATTCTAGGAAGCCCCCCCCCCCCCTTGTTTCACTCTCTGACAGCATACCAGGTTCAGGCTATACTGGCCTGCTCGAATCCCTTCCAATCCTGCTTAGAAGCCCGATCTCTAAGCATTTGAGCCTGCAATTTGTCGTGAAAATGTTATTTTTGTCTGGCACATAATGGTAATACTTTGAACTTGGTGCACGACACCTACAAGCAAAAGCATAGCCTTTGAGATGTGCATTTGCAATTAGAAGATGGCCCCTAAGGTGTAACCAGTCTGCAGCCTTCAGGATCAGAGGTAATTACATACCACTTTTTTCATGGCCCAATTGCAATGCCTTGGTGCTTCTTGCCTTTTACAGTCATCACTGTAATGTGCTGTGCCATGAATGACAATTAGATGACTTCTGGAGAGGTTTACTTGCACTCAAGCTTTTTCTGGTGGGAAGGCTTTACCCCCATCGTCTAGAATTCTGGCGCCACTCTGCAAAATACCCTCCACTGTGTCAGGAGTTTAGACTTGTTGAGGCAAAGTGCTTGCTCGGAATCCCACGGATGACAGGCTTCAATGCTAGCCTCTAGGACACTGCTTTTGCAAGCAGGTCCACACTGCTGGAGTTATAACACAAGCTGAATTTCAGAACATCAATTGGAGCGCACCGCGCTTAGCCTGGAGAGTCAGGGCCGACAGCTGTCTCAAGCCACACCTGCCGCTTTCGTTTAAACACGGAGGCCTGTCAGGCCAACAGAGGTCAGGAAAGTACCAACAGATGTCAACAGAATACCAACAGATGTCAAGAAAGTACCAACAAAGTAAAATACACGAGCACGAAAAAATGAGTAAAATGCATGAGCACGAAAAAAAAGAAACTTTACAGAAGAAGCATTTTTGTAATTGCACATTGCAATATAAGCATGATTCCCGACTTGAGAAAAAAAAAAGAAAACCAACCACTCTTTTCAGCAATGTCAATGACAGTTGGCCAATTGCCAACAATACAACAGTAGCAGGAACAAAAAAATGGTCATAGCACTTTGCAAACCAGACAAACAACCATGGACACGACTACCCTAAGTGCCATTTCACTCTGGACTATCTAAAATTTTAAACATATATATATATCAATGTTTTAATGCTCATATGACCTATATCAGAAAGAAACAGAACACATTTCAAATAGAAACAGCTCTCGTAAAAGAGCAAGACACAGTGCTTTATAATTTGGGCAAGCGACATGAGCCCCCATTAAGGCCACAGGTACATGAACAAACTGCACTGCTGGCATTGGGTTCATTTTTGTTTCAACAATAAAATAAAAGCTGAAGCTGAAAAGCTGGTTTCACGCCTCACTTTACTTAACATCGCTCCATCTACCAAGCTATGCAAGGGTGATTAATTAAGCTTTGAGGTTTTACATTTCAAAACCACTACTGTAAAATCCCGAGCAAGTGCATTCCCTGCGGGGAAAGGTAACGTGACAAGACTTGGAGAGGGGGGCCCTTGCTCGGTCAAGGATAGCCATTATAAGGTAGCGGCAGATGAATCGCTAAAAATAAAGAATGCACACAAGTGCTCCTTTTCATATGCTTTATTGAATACACATTAATTTACTATTTTCATTGGCCATCGGCAAGTGAATGAAAACAGTGAAAATGGCGGGAGGGGAGAATAAGCCATATACTTGAAATCCCGCAAAGAAAAGAGGGGTGCTTGCTCAGGATTTCACAGTATACATACATGGTTGAGGCACATTTACCTCTGGATTAATTTTGAGCAGAGTGAAACCAGGTCACAGGTCTAGCATAAATGTAAAAAACTGTTAAACAGACACAAAAATGACATTCTCGGGACATACGCAACCTTTTGAAGCAAGCAAGACTGTACAGCAATCGCAACAAATCTTAATGACCAGACTTTCTACAGAGTTCAATGGCTCTTCTGATGTAGGCACACTTGATACTTCCACTGTAACAAGAAAGAAAGAAAAGCTTAGTAACAGCGATCAATTTCAACAATGCCAACTGTCAAAATAAACACAGTGAAACAAGATAGCCTACATTTCAGGCATTTGTCCAGGCATCACTTCTGCCTTAAAGGGCCAGTAAACAGCTTTGATGTCCAACAATTTTAAAAAAAGATATATGTGCAGTTTTTCTTTGCGAACATGCTGCCACAAGAATTTTGCGAATATGTGCTATATTAAGGAAGTTACATGGGTTAGAACATCGGTCTAAGCTGGTTTGAAATTTTCACGCGGCCTCGCCACCCTTCTTCCTTCCATGAAGGGAAAGGCGTAGCCCATCGTCGTGACTCCGCCCACTTCGGCAACGTGACACCACATCAGTGATTGACGTCATCAGCAAACTCAATCAGTCGCAACGCACTTCCGCTTGCTGCGAAGCGTGGTTGTTTGTTTACCGTTTGCCGCACCAGCCGCGGGTCAACCGTGTACGTGTCAGGTGCGAAGTGTCGACCACAAACAATCAGGTCCCCAACATAAGTCTCTTGATGGCCGGTTCGCTTCAGCCATGCAGCGCACAGGGCCCCCATCATGAGGCACCCGGTGCCGATGCTTCTCCGCTGCCCAGTCGCTCAATTTGCAGCCAACGACAAAGCAACGCTTTTAAACTGTGTTGCTCATGTCAAGGGCGAAGTACGTTCGTAAGTGCACACAGGCGCTGTGGTTGAGCAAGGAGTGTACATGTGCACGCAACAACTGTGAGGCTGGTCCTTCAACCGCTGTGCCAAGAAACAAGGAGCAGTTTCGCAGCTGTGGGTGGGAACAGGAACTGACGTCGACTCCACTACTGTTTTTTCACACCTGATTTAGACCGATCAGCGAGCTGCGTGCTACGTCACGTCAGCGATCGCCGAGTTGATGTCACTGCGCGTGCAAGGGGGTCGGTCGGTCAGCCGTAGGAAAGATGCACGAGCATCGTTTTTCGAAATAGAGGCTTTGCGTAGCGCACAATGCTGTAATATTCAGAAAACATGATCGCTACGGTCTAATCTATGAATTGCCGAGCTTGTATAGGGGGTGTAAAAAAAAGTCTGAGCCTGCTTACTGGCCCTTTAAAGGGGTGGTGCCACTATATTTATGCTTTGCGCGTTCTTTGCTGCAGGCATTTTTTATAACTCCACAAAGCATGATACATACCCTAAGATTCATTAATTCTTGCTAAATAATTTAATACCGCCCTATATATGCGGACGATTTTCAGTTTCAATTTCTGGGCACCGAGTTGGGCAGTGACATAGAAGTGTAGGCGGCTTGGCCATGTGACTACACAAAGCTGTGATGCACGTCTAGCAGTGTCATCTGCTGTCGCGCGCACGTGCCAAACAAGCACCAGCAAAACAAAATGTGCCGACAGCTATTATGGCTAGTTGCAGCAGCGACGATGCTATGCCGGTATGTACGTGGTGGAGGTAGGGTGGCTAGCGGAAGTTCAGAGGTCACTCGCCTCACTACAGATCTAGTATGACGTCATTACAAATTCTGCTGCCCTTTCTATTGAGCTACATCAGTGTTAGACGTTCAGATACACTTTGAAAGTGAATTAAAATACATTCTGAATGTTTGCTATGTCCGTCCATTCGTGTGGAGTGTCGCTGTGTGCAGAGGGAACCCACAAGAGGCTTGTTATGGCCTCCAAATTTGATGCCTCCACCATTTTAAAGGCAAGTAACTGTAGCCAAGAGCAAAAGACACAGGGTCTGTGCACGACTGTCTTCTGCACTCAGACAGTTGTACAGGAGGTGCTTTGATGCCTGTTTTCTGAACAGTAGGTTATTTTTCCTAGTCATCAGCGTTTCAAAAGTTTATAGAGGTTTTCACACATGCAAGCTGGTGCAATTATTGCGTCTGGACAAACACTCTTTGATGTCACTAACATGCTAAGAATTCCCATGAGTATTAACAAACCTGATGGACATAAAGGTACTGACAACAATCCAGAACATGCCACAAGACGCTCATGGAAGTGGAAAGACTGTAAACTATAGTGACAGAATCAAACCTTATTTTTGCGATTCGAATAGAATTCATATTTTTAAATGCTTTTGACGGTCACCAAAACAAGCACATTGCATCGCCTGGTGGCAAGTGCTGGTGCCGCAAAAAGGTGTGGCTCGGCTTGGTGAGCCTACTAAACTGTTTAGGTGCACTATAATTCGTGCTTCAAATTACAGTCTCCATATTCTTAAGCATCCTCACCTTATTATTTGCTTACTACTAGTTAAAAGAAGTTGACACCAAGAAAAACACACACAAAAAAAAGGTGTAGACAATGTGCATTATTTTTTTCTCAATGTGTGTACACTAGTTGCACAGACAACAATCTTGTAGCACAATGTGCCAATGGCACCATAAGCCACTGCCCTGCAGGACCATTTCTTGCCATTTCTCTCCCCCCCCCCCCCCTCTCCAAGCAAACTCACATTCTAAACTGCATTCATTACTTGTAATTCTCCCATCAAGGTGACAAGACTTTTGAGAATTCATGAGTCACTGACACTTCACACCTTGCTGCGTCCCGTGACAAGAGTAAGCTGCGAAAGTGACGGTGTACTTGGTGGTCAAGTAGCAAGAGAAACAAATGCACAGTGCGTTTCGAGTTTGAAGCACATTTCACAACTAAACACAATTTTTTCAATGGTAGATAAAAGTGAAACGATTTTGTTTCCTATATTACATTGTTTTTATTTCCTTTCACAAGTTTTGTTTCCCTACTTTCAATACAAAAAAATTGAATATAGTAATTAAAATCCAAGCAGGTTAACATAGCTTTTAAAGAGAACAAGGCTCAATGTATAGAGTCCGCTGGAAATTGTCGCCTGGCTGCTTGCCATTGCATTTCGCATGAGCAGTTCGCCAAAGCCAGATGCTCAAAATAGCCATGATTCCCAAGCTCTCATGATGGAAGAAATCATTTAAAAAACATTTTTGTCACATAGATGAGCTTTCACTTGTACCTTTTAAATGGGTTTTTCTCAAG